CCCCCCCACCCCCCGTCCTCCCGTCCCACCCAGAAACTCAGATTCTCTTCCTCCTACCCGGGACCCCGACCCACGTCCCCTGACACCTGGGACACCCGATTCACCTGCCCTGTAACTGGGGACCCCCACCCCAAGCACCTCTCTTCCCATCCGGGACCCTCAGCCCTCCTCCCCTCCCAAACCATGACACGCGACTCACCTCCTCTCCCACCCGGGATCCCCATTCCCACGGCCCCCATTCCCACTGGGCTGGGGATCCCCGTGTTTATGCTGTGGGGCGGGGTTGGGAGTTGGGGCTCCCGATTCGCCATGCTCGGGCTCCCCATCCCTTCCCGCACCAAGGGCGGAGGGGGCTCTCCCGAGCGCGTTTGCACCCGCTTGTCCCCCGCTTTTCGGTGGGGGGCTCTGAACCCCACGGGGAAAGCTTGACAGGGAAACTGAGGCACAGATGGGGCTCCCGAGGCGGGTGCCGTTTTGTGTCGTCGTCCCGTCCCCCCACCCCCTCGACCGCATCCGAGGCTCGAGGACACGCTGGGCTTCACGCAGGGAGGAGGCAGCGGGCTGGGGGGGTGCGGATCCCGGCGGGATCCCGGGAGGAAATGGGCTGGACTGGCAGGGAGGGGGGGCCGACTCGGTCCCGGGGGGACCCTCACGCCCTCCGGCAGCCGCGACAGGAGCCGGGCCGCGCCATGGGGACTCTCCAGGACACTGTGAGCGACCCTGGGGAAAGGGATACCCTGGGGGTCCCGGGGGATCTGTGGCCTCGGGCTGGGGGTCCGTTCTGTCCTGGGGCGTTTGGGGCGCGATGTGCTTGGGAGTGTCTGGGGGTTTCGTTTTCCTGGGTGGGGGGGGGGGGGGCTGGGCCCCCCCCTCCCCGGCTGGACTGGCAGGGAGGGGGGGCCGACTCGGTCCCGGGGGGACCCTCACGCCCTCCGGCAGCCGCGACAGGAGCCGGGCCGCGCCATGGGGACTCTCCAGGACACTGTGAGCGACCCTGGGGAAAGGGATACCCTGGGGGTCCCGGGGGATCTGTGGCCTCGGGCTGGGGGTCCGTTCTGTCCTGGGGCGTTTGGGGCGCGATGTGCTTGGGAGTGTCTGGGGGTTTTTTTTTTGGGGGGGGGGGGGGGGGGGTTGGAGCCCCCCCTTCCCTGTGTCCCCTTGCCCCCCTGGCAGTGGGAGCCTGAAGAGCTCAGCTGCGTATTCCATCCGGCCGCCAGACCTCTGGGTGGGTGTGCTGGGAAGGACAGAGCCCCTTCAGCACGCCCAGCAGGACCAGCTCTGAGCCCCCCACCCTCCTTACACCAGCTGCACATTTTGGGGAGATGAAGGCTGCATCCCAGTATGTGGGTGGGAAAACACTTGGTCCTTCCTACTCCTGTGCCTTCGAGCACACCCAAATTTGGGGAGGGGGTGACGTGAGGGGGGTTCTTCCCTCTTGCAACTGTCTGTTCGCCTGGATGGATCCCTGGCCTGTGTGCGGATGGTTTTGGGTGTGAGAACCGTGGCCTTGGTCCCCCTGGGGGCGCAGTTGCTTGGGGGGCTCCAGGGGGCTGCAGGTTCAAGACAGGAGCGAGGACCTGGAGATTCAAGCTGGGAAACGAAGGGAAGGAAACGCTCTCTGGGAAATTGCCGAAAGCTGCTGACGGAGAGAAAGAAGCTGAGCAGGGCCAGTGTGCCCCGGGCGGGGGGGAAATGAGCCCCCCTCCCCCTCCGGATGGGAAGGTGGCGGCTTGAGGACATCTGAACTGTCGCTCAGCACGGGGGTGGGATGTGACTCTCCTCACCGCCCAGCGCAGTGAGACGGGGGTCCCTGTGATCCCTGTCGGTCCGAGCCCTCCAGAACACAACTGGGCCTGAGCTAGGAGCGTGCTGACAGCTGGGCAGGCACAGCCCCGCATGGGATCTGGGGGTGCGGGGGTCAGGGAGCCACAACTCCCAGCATGGGGGTACAGAACGCACCCATGGAGGGGGGGGAGTCAGAGCAGTTTTAACCCAGACCACCAGCGCTGGCGTGGACATGAGGAGGAGGAGGAGGAGGAGTGGATCACATGGTGGGGCAGAGGTGCAGCCCCAGCCAGTCCTGCTGTGTGAGGCCACAGTGGCAATGGGATGTGACCCAGGATGTTTGAGGAGTGAGTGGTGGGGATGGATCCTGCCCCTTCTCCAGCACATCCCAGCCCAGGGTGGATGAAGAACAGCTCATCCCCCACAAAATACCACAGGATCCCTGGTCCTTGGGGGGGGGCATATAGGGGAGATATAGGGATGTAGGGCTTGGGGCATTATTACTCTCCAACACCCTGCAGTGGGGTGAGGCTATGAATGTCTGTTCCTCCTCTCCCTGCCTGCCACGAGCTCCAATGCAATTACTTGCAGACTGGATCATGAATCAAGCTGTAATTGATACATGTTCACAGTCTGGAGAAGCAGGAGGGGCTTGGGGGGCCCCCACCATCCCGAGGGGTTGGGAGGGGCTGTGGGGGACTGCAGTCAGGCACCTTTACTGACCTGCCAGGGACTGGGGGGGGCCTCAGCCAGCATCATGGGGCTCCTTCTGCCTCAGTTTCCCCCTATGTGGGACCAGCCATGTTCAGTGGCTGAGGACCTGTTGAGGCCAGTGAGGGGACATGCGTATGCGGGCGTTTGTCCTTGCGTTTCCTCTGGCAGACACAAACACATCAGCAGGGCAATAAAGGGGAGGAAAGGGCCGTGGCGGCTTCTTTCCATTACATGCGGCAGGGCTGGCTTCCTCCCACATCAGCAGGGTCAGGGGAAAGAGCCAGATCCCCAAACTGGGTTGGCTGGGTGCACCCCAGTGCTTCCCAGCCAGGCAATCCCCACAGGCCAGGGATCAAGGAGTCACTGCTTGCAGGTGTGGAATCAGCCTGTGCTGGCACTGCAGTGCCCTGCTGCTGATTTTTGAGGGGCAGTGGGGTTTGGGATACAGGTTCCAGTGCTCTCATGCCTCATGACATCACCTGGGAAGGGAGGTCTGAAGTGGGAGTGCCCTGCTGGACCCCAGGCAGGGGAATTGGGATGGGGATGTTCCTGCTGCACCCAAGCAGAAGGAGTTGGAGGGGATTAGTCCTGCTGCACCCACAGGGATTAGTCCTGCTGCAGCATGGGCAGTAAGAAGCTGGGACAGGATGCTCCTCTTGCAGGATGACATGGTGGCATCTTCCCCCTGAATGGGATAGGCCCCGTGGGTGACCTTGGCTTTTTGGAGTTAAGCTGTGACATTTGGCAGGGAAGTGGTGGGCTGGGATCCCCTGCAAGCCTGGGTCTGGAGGGTGGCTCTCTGGGAGCTGAGTCCATGGATTTGGGGACTGGCCTGGGACTTTTGCAGCTCAATCCTCTTGCATACTCACCCTGGCCACTCCATGGAAGTGGGGGAGAGGATGGTGGGGACCTGCCCGAGAGAGCCATGGGGTGGAAAATGCCAGGGAGCAGAGCTCCCGAGTCTCCCTCCTCTTGGTACAGGAGAGATCACTGCTCCTGGCCTGGCTCTGGCAGATGCAGGGTGTATGGCACCTTTGGATGCCCTGGCCACAGCTTTGGAATCCCCCCCTAGACAAGGGGGGCCTGGAGGCCAGACCCCTGGCTGGGTGCTGACCCATTAAACACCAGCACTGTGATCCTTTCTGCCATGTAATGGGCTTTGGTTTTCTCCTGGCCTCAATTTCCCCATCTGAGTAGTGAGACCACCCCAATTCCTCGACCCCTTCACGACAATTAAGAGCTGCCTCCCACCATCACACCCTTTCCGGTATGGAAAATAAGAGCAGTCCCTGTAGAGACAGAGTGGAATCCCCTGGTGGGGGGCAGCTCTGGCAGCCCCCAGCCCCCCACACCCTGCTCCGGAGCGCTGCCCAAATCAAATTCCTCCCCAGCTGCAGATGGCCAGGAATTCAATTTTCCCAGATCCCATCAGAGACTAAGAAATGAGGTCCCTAATCACTGTGCAGATCCCATTAGTGCCAGCCATGCCAGGAGGGGATGCATGGATGGATGTGGGAATGCTGCATCCCCCTTCCCACTCCACTGATTCCTATCCCCCTAAGGGGCTTAGATGTCCCCCGAGCCCTCTCTGGCTGCATCCCCAGGGCTTTGCCATGATGGTCCCAAGCAGAGCCAGGCACGGGGACCCCTGCATGGCTAATCCACCAGAAAACATCTAGAAAAATCCTGGAAACCCAGCCAGTGTGGATGGGAAGGGGACTGTGTGCCAGGGAAGTTTTTCCAGCAGTGCCATGTCCCAGGAATGCACATCATGCCACCTCTCTCCCAGCACTGCCACTGCCAGCACCCAAAGCTGGTGCCAGCTGGGTGCCAGGATGTCTCTGTCCTTTGGGGTGCAGGCACCTGCATACCAGGGATTCTCCTAACCACGGAGCAGTTTCCCTTGCAGCTGCTGTAGGAGGGTCCATCTGCCCCTCCCTGACATGAGTTAGGGACAAGTGACACGGGGCTGAGTGGGGTCCCTTTCCCCCTCTCTGACGTGGCTTAGAGACAAGTGACAGTGAGACCCCCTGCCCTCACGACCGTCTTTCTTAGAACAGTGAACTAATTAGTGACAAATTAGTGACAGATCATTAGGCTAGTGGCCGAGCCAGCTGTTCCAAGAAGGCCACGATGTTCTGGGGACGGAAATCCTTGAGGAGTGTGGCTGCTGTCCCGATTTGTACTGCCCGACAAAGGGACATCAACAGGAAGCAACCTTGACTCCGGCCCAGTTCTCTTGGCCCCGGGAGGCCGGGCCAGGATGTGGGGGGACAGACTAGGAGCACCCCAAGGGCTTGTGAGCTGCCAGAGGTTAGGAAATTTGCTTGGTTCAGCAAACAACCCACTCAGAATGTGTGTGGTCCTCAGGGAGTGGCATCTGTCTGGTTCCAGGCTGCAGAAATTCCATGTGCAAATGGTCTGTGCAAATGTCTTGTGCAGTGTGAGCATGTCAGGCTCCAGCGAGGCTGATGTATGGGTGAGGAGGAGGAGGGTAGGGGAAGGGATGCACTGAGCTCCGGGGAGACGCTGGGCTCAGCACAGCTCATTCCACCTGAACCAAACTCTAGTGCCACTCTAAGCAGGTCTTGCATGGCCATGGCCCTTTGCAGGTAGGGAAACTGAGGTAGGAAACCTCCACAGAAAGGGAAACTGAGGTAGGCACAGGCATGCAGGGCTACTTGTGTGATTTTTTGGGATGGCTGATTCCACAGATTTGCATCCTCCAGCCCTTAGAAGCCTCAGCCTAGATCACTGGGTGCCAGAGTAGCTCCATGAGAGGGTCCTGCACCTCAGCCCTTGCTTCCCATCCATACATTGCAACAGGACCTCAGGCAAATGACCATGAGGAGACAAGAGATATCCCAGAAGTGTTTCCTTCCTGTTTGCCCTCATTATCCCCCTGGAAAAGATGAGGTAATTAAGGAGCTACCGTGTTGCAGGTTGTTGCTGCCTGATTAGATTAAAGCAATGTAATTTGGGACTAAGAGCGGTGCTGGGAGGAAATGGATGGATGGCTTCCCAACTGGAGTTGGGCAGAGCTGCCAGCTCTACCTTCCATCCATCCCTCCATCCTCTGTTGCTCCAGGGACACTG